AAATCAAATTTAAAAAATTTATAATTATAGTTAAAACAATCTCTAGAAAAAATATATAAATATTAGTCAAAACCTTACATTATTGAGATTAGAGACACCTTCTATAATGTTGTTTATGTCATCTTGAGGCACAAACTGATTCAGTTTATTATTCATTGTCTCAGTATTGTAGCCCAATATCTCCAATATGCTTTTTATCACATTTTCATCAAAATAAGCACGTACACATCTCCAGATTTTTTTGGTATGTTCATCTGGAGACATATCCATCTTTTCTTTACAAAACTCGTTGAATTGCTTAGTTTCCAGTGTTGTTTTTAATTTGTTGGAACGTTGAATAAGATTGGCTTGTATATTTACTTGTGATATAATAACTTTCCTAGTCGCTTTTTTGTTTGCTAAATTCGGATCAGCAGACTGATTCTCGAACCTCACTAATTTACCACCAAACTGAAGATCATATTATTTTTATATTAAATAATTATACTTTATTATAAAGGAATATTCTGTTTAATATAAAAAATTGTATGATATAAAGCAGAATTAAAAACTTACTCCAAATGATGCTCCAAATGGTCTTTTTAACCATTTAGGAGCTTTTGTTAATACTGCCATCGTTCCTGTTTGTATTGTAGATTGAGTGAAAGGATCCATTCCTGGGAATGAATCTCCTATTTTGTTAGATGTTTCTTGCTGTTGTCCACCTAACAAAGAATAAACAACAGCATGTCCATCAAAGCTACTGCCAACAATTAAACCTGGATTTCTTGGGCACCAAGACACATCAAAGTTCCACTGAGCTGTTTGGGCTAATTCACATATCACCTCACCATTCTGTCATTAAAAAATGATAATACTTAAAATTTCATTGATTTATTTAAATGCATATTCAAAACATTACCAATGCATTTGAATTGGGATTCCAACACAAAATTCTATTATCCTTAGCACAACTCAGGAGTAAATCAGCATCCTGTGGATTCCATGCGATTGAAAGAACACCACGCTGATGACCTTGTAGAGTTTTTAAAGGCGATGTTGGAAATCTCACATCCCATAATTCAATGATAGGTGTTTGATCATCTTCAGATGCCAAACATAATTGTGTTCCAATATCTGGATGCCACTGAGCAACTTTCCAGCGAACCTAATTGGAACATAACAATTGTGAGATGATTTCTAAACAAGATTATGTATATGTTGCATCACAGTGTATTACATCAATATAAAAAAAGATTATACCCTGGAATTTGCATCTGTCAGTTTGAATATTGGTTTCTTTTCTTTCACATTCCATATAATACAGCATTGTGAAAATGTAGAAGCAAGAATATCTTTTAAATGTACTGTAAAATAAAATGAGAATGATATTGGTTATTGATAGATCAGATTCGTATAAATAATTAAATTTGTCATGTAACTTCTTTGATATAATTTGATATAATTTGATATAATTTGACATAATTTGATATAAATACCTTGTTTATTCCAAGCAATATGTTGAACATCTTCTGACTGCTGGCTTCTAGAAAGGGTTGTCGGCATGTTTGTATTAATATCCCAAATATAAATCTCGCTTTCTGTAGCACCTGTAGCTAGTTGATTTTCTTCTCGAAAGGGATTAAAATCCATTGCTCTAACAGGACCAGTGTGCCTATGAGGACTGTTTATTAGGCAGTTATTGTCTTTAGCCAATAACTTTGCAGCAGAATAGATTTTTATAGTTCCATCTTCACAACCGCCAACAATTATACCTGCTGAATTATTTCCATAGGATCCCCAGATAATTTTGTGAAATCTAGACAATATCTCAACAATATCAATTTATTATTCAGCCTCTGCTAGATTAAATTTAATTTTATATAAGTAACTGACCTATGATCACTAGGGACACTAGCCTGGAGTTCCATTTCATATCCAGGCTGCTGTAAATTCAGCGAATACAGATCTAAACTGGCAGAAGTACTGAAACTGGCATCCAACTGCTGTGCCGCTGTCCCAGCAGCCAACATGATGGGATGTTGAGTTGGTGGAGACCATGCTACATTTACTGTCTTCAGCAGTTCTTTGACTTTCATCTGTATATGATAGAAGAGAAAAATCTGCTCTTAATGTCCCATACATTTTGCGTTAATAAATTAGAAAAGAAATTCTTTCGCGAGTAACACAATGGTACCGAAGCATGAATATCCAGACGAGAGCAGTTAATTAACTCGGAAACACAGTGGGACAAATAGTGTCAAAAAATGTAATCGACATTACTGACACTACGTGGAGAACCAACTGCGTCCCGTCGTTCGAGCAAGACGCGATCGTTGGGATGAGCGACGATAGACGTTTTGATTGATGATACGTTCTCTCACCTTGATTTGTGTCCGGGCGGCCGTAAACAGGGAAATTCGTCAAAACTCGAGCAAAATAACGAACGAGAATCCGGCGAAATACGACAACCCGTCGAGTCTTCCAACGTGGCGTATGGTGGCGTGCTGCATGCGAACATCTGCGGTGCCGCCCTCCCTTGGTAACGTCAGCGCATTACGACATCCCTCGACTGTGTTTCCGTGCGTCGGCTGCTGCAATTGCTGTAAATTGTGCTACAAAACAGCGAATGGCGAATTGCTCCAAGTCGCTCAGCGTCAGAGCGTTTGCTTCCGCTACTGAAGAGAGTTAGAACGTTGCTTCAAGACAAGGTAATATTAGTAAAGTAATATCACACATTCGCTTTTCACGATGTTGTCGGCTGACAGAATATCCATTTAAGTCTGCTTGTCTATTGTTTTTAGTATGATTGTAACTCCTTTCGTTCTCTCGCTTCGAAGTTCGAAGCTACATTTATGGAGTTACATTGCATGAGACATTGCATTGCATCACCGGTTTCTACGCGTCTCGTGATAAATTGTTCATTATTTTATGAAAGTTCAATGTCTACTTTTACTTAAAACTGAGAATTATAACTTACTTGACTCAAGAATTCAGAACAATTGATATTTTATACGATACCGTGATTAAAATTGTTGTGCTGTATTTTGTGTAGTTTTTTTTTAAATTTGATATAAATTTTTAAAATATCTGCTTCTGTGTTTAATTTAAATGCTACAGAATAGCTTTGATTCAAGAGCAGTTATTATGTATAGATATATAATTATATATTTATTCTTAATATTATAATACTATATTTTTTTATATTAAATTTTGTCTCTTTGTAAAGCTGAAGTAAATACTACTACTAAATACTTCTAAATAAATACTACTACTAGATACTACTAGATACTTCTAAATAAATACTACTACTATTACATTTTGTCTCATAAATCTTTAAATTATGTCCTTTGCGATT